TTTTGGGCTGACACAATATTTTAGTATATGTGCTTGATAATTCCTAGTTAGCAAGCATTGGTCCTGCGCAGCAAGGATAAAACCTTCAGTTTCCGCTTTCAACCCTGCACTACGTAGCCACTGATGGGTACGGGTTTTGTCTACGTCAGCTTGTTTGGTACGGGCAGAGTATTGGCCATGAAGCGGTTTATCTTGCCATCGCTTCTGTATCTGGTCGGTTGCATTCGTCTTTGCTGTCTTTTTTAGGTATTTTGCAGTTTCAGCCGGTGTATTGTGCTGTAGTTGCATCTCTACGCCCATTTGAAACTCCATTTTGAATTTGTTGGCTTCTTTCACTACGGAGTAAAGGCGCTTACTACTTTCATGTTCCTTGACGCATACCATCATCCTGTCTTCTGTAGTTTCCAAATGTCTTTGGAGGCCAATTGTTGTAGTTTTGTAGGACAGTTCTAGTTGAACTAATCCTCTGCCTCCTTCAGATCTGGGCACATACAGACGATCGACATCAGCTTTTGGATGATGCATGCGATAGCAAGTGAGAAGCTTTTTCGTTTTGGCGTCCATTCACTTAATTTCAGCTATGGTCCAGTTAAGGACATTAAAGCTGTACTGCACCACAGTGACAGCCAATGTGTTTATGGCTGATATCCTGTTTTTTGAGTTTAGCTCAGTATTTAGTACCAGACGTACATGCCTGTAGTACTCTTTTCTTATTTTTTCCTTCATTTGGGGGTGTTGAATGCCATCTCCTTCGCTAATTCCAAGGTACTTATAAGCTTCATCATGCTCCAGTTCCCTAATCTTTGTGACAAAATCTAAATCTATTAAGGGTGTTTCTGTAAGTCTACCTTTCTTGAAAGTTACTTTTATTATTATTATTATTATTATTATTAGTATTAACTCAGATTGCCTTTCTTTTTATCTAGATTTTTTTCTCTCCTTTGTTTAAATACTTCTCTCATTCACTTTCTTTACAAGCCCAATATAATTCTGTTCTTTCATTTTCTTTATTTAATTTTTTTATATTTATCTTATTCACTTTTTAACTCAATTACTTTCTTTTTATATTCTTTCTATTTTCTTTCTTTCTTTTAAACGCTTCTCTTTTTTATCTTTTTTTTTTCTTTTTTACTTTCTTTCTTTTTTTCTTTCTTTCAAGTTTTCTCTATTTTTTAACTTTTCTTTCTATAAATGTTTTTCTTTAATTTCATGATTTCACTTATTCTATTTAATTCTCATCTACTTTTTTTGCGTATATTCTATTTTCTTTTTTTCTTTTCTATGTTCCGCTTATTTCTTTCCTTCAAAAATATCCTTTCGTTATTTTTGCTTTCTTTTAGATTTCCTTTTTTTTTCTATGCTCTCTTTATTTCTTTCCTTTTTAAATTTTCATTCATTTGTTTGTCTCTTCGTTTTTTAAGGTAACCGTGAGTTATATGCTAACAGTTTTTTTTTCTTTTAAATATTTCTCTTTTTTTATCTCTTTTCATTTTACGTCATTTTTCTTTTTTTTCTTTCGTTCTTTCTTTTTCTTTCTTTTAAATGCTTCTCTTTTTTAATCTCTTTCCATTTTACGTCATTTCTATTTTTCTTTCGTTCTTTATTTTTCTTTCTTTTAAATGCTTCTCTTTTTTATCTCTTTTCATTTTACGTCATTTTTATTTTTTTCTTTCGTTCTTTCTTTTTTTTTTCTTTTAAATGCTTCTTGATTTTTATCTCTTCATTTTACATCATTTTTATTTTTTTTTTTCGTTCTTTCTTTTTTTTTCTTTTAAATGCTTCTTTTTTTATCTCTTCATTTTACGTCATTTTTATTTTTTTCTTTCGTTCTTTCTTTTTCTTTCTTTTAAATCCTTCTCTTTTTAATCTCTTTCCATTTTACGTCATTTCTATTTTTTTCTTTCGTTCTTTCTTTTTCTTTCTTTTAAATGCTTCTCTTTTTCATCTTTTTTCATTTTACGTCATTTCCATTTTTTTCTTTATTTCTTTCTTTTTCTTTCTTTTAAATGCTTCTCTTTTTTATCTCTTTTCATTTTACGTCATTTCCATTTTTTTCTTTCGTTCTTTCTTTTTCTTTCTTTTAAATGCTTCTCTTTTTTATCTCTTTTCATTTTACGTCATTTTTATTTTTTCTTTCGTTCTTTCTTTTTCTTTCTTTTAAATGCTTGTCATTTTATCTCTTTTTCATTTACGTCATTTTTATTTTTTTCTTTCTTTCTTTCTTTTTCTTTCTTTTAAATGCTTCTCTTTTTTATCTCTTTTCATTTTACGTCATTTTTTTTTTTTTCTTTCGTTTCTTTCTTTTCTTTCTTTTAAATGCTTCTCTTTTTTATCTCTTTTCATTTTACGTCATTTTTTTTTTTTCTTTCGTTCTTTTTTTTCTTTCTTTTAAATGCTTCTCTTTTTTTTATCTCTTTTCATTTTACGTCATTTTTTATTTTTCTTTCGTTCTTTCTTTTTTCTTTCTTTTTAAATGCTTCTCTTTTTATCTCTTTTCATTTTACGTCATTTTTTATTTTTTCTTTCGTTCTTTCTTTTTTCTTTCTTTTTAAATGCTTCTCTTTTTTATCTCTTTTCATTTTACGTCATTTTTATTTTTTTTCTTTCGTTCTTTTCTTTTTCTTTCTTTTAAATGCTTCTCTTTTTTATCTCTTTTCATTTTACGTCATTTTTATTTTTTTCTTTCGTTCTTTCTTTTTCTTTCTTTTAAATGCTTCTCTTTTTTATCTCTTTTCATTTTACGTCATTTTTCTTTTTTTTCTTTCGTTCTTTCTTTTTCTTTCTTTTAAATGCTTCTCTTTTTTATCTCTTTTCATTTTACGTCATTTTTTCTTTTTTTCTTTCGTTCTTTTTTTTCTTTCTTTTTAAATGCTTCTCTTTTTATCTCTTTTCATTTTACGTCATTTTCTTTTTTTTTTTCTTTCGTTCTTTCTTTTTCTTTCTTTTTAAATGCTTCTCTTTTTATCTCTTTTCATTTTACGTCATTTTTATTTTTTCTTTCGTTCTTTCTTTTTCTTTCTTTTAAATGCTTCTCTTTTTTATCTCTTTTCATTTTACGTCATTTTTCTTTTTTTTCTTTCGTTCTTTCTTTTTCTTTCTTTTAAATGCTTCTCTTTTTTATCTCTTTTCATTTTACGTCATTTTTCTTTTTTTTCTTTCGTTCTTTCTTTTTCTTTCTTTTAAATGCTTCTCTTTTTTATCTCTTTTCATTTTACGTCATTTTTATTTTTTCTTTCGTTCTTTCTTTTTCTTTCTTTTAAATGCTTCTCTTTTTTATCTCTTTTCATTTTACGTCATTTTTATTTTTTCTTTCGTTCTTTCTTTTTCTTTCTTTTAAATGCTTCTCTTTTTTATCTCTTTTCATTTTACGTCATTTTCTTTTTTTTTCTTTCGTTCTTTTCTTTTTCTTTCTTTTTAAATGCTTCTCTTTTTATCTCTTTTCATTTTACGTCATTTTTATTTTTTCTTTCGTTCTTTCTTTTTCTTTCTTTTAAATGCTTCTCTTTTTTATCTCTTTTCATTTTACGTCATTTCCATTTTTTTCTTTCGTTCTTTCTTTTTCTTTCTTTTAAATGCTTCTCTTTTTTATCTCTTTTCATTTTACGTCATTTCCATTTTTTTCTTTCGTTTTTTCTTTTTCTTTCTTTTTAAATGCTTCTCTTTTTTATCTCTTTTCATTTTACGTCATTTCCATTTTTTTCTTTCGTTCTTTCTTTTTCTTTCTTTTAAATGCTTCTCTTTTTTATCTCTTTTCATTTTACGTCATTTTTATTTTTCTTTCTTTGATTTTCTCTATTCGTCTTTCTTTTGATTATTTTTCTCTTTTTTCTCTTTCTTTTGATTTTGATTTTTTTACTTTATTTTCTTTCTTTTTCTACGATTATCTTTTCTTTCATTTCATTGTTTTTATTCTTTTTCTTTTAAATCCCCTGTTCTTCCTTATTCTCTTTCCATTTTTTATTTTCTTTGCCTTTTCTTTCTTTCTTCTAAATCGTTCCTTTTGAATAATTCTCTTATTCATTTGAATCCCATTTTCGTTCTCATGATCGTTCTATCTTTTGTATAATATATATATATATATATATATATATATATATATATATATATATATATATATATATATATATATATATTAGGTTGTCCCAAATGTTCGTAAACACTTGCAAAAATTGTAATTTTACTCGCCAAATAATAACAAAAACAACGAAAATTATTCCTCAAAATTAAGTCCATCATTTTCAATAAACTTTCTGCCATCGATCTGCAAGTTTTCTTGACACGCTTCCTCGACTTCATCAAAAGAGTCGAATCGGCGGCCCTTCAGAAAGTATTGCATTGAGCGGAAAAGGCCGTAATTTGATGGAGCACAGTCAGGACTCTAGGCTGGATGTGGCAGAACCTCAACGCCGTCCAGCTCTTCAAACTTGTATTTGGTCTTCCTGGCGGTGTGTGGCTTGGCATTGTCCTGCTGCATCAAAGCGCGCTTTAGGTAGATCAGAGCTGGGTACGTTTGCTTCAACTTTTCGTAGACCCGCTCCAGTTGCTGACAGTAAAGTTTGGCACTGATGGCGCGACCATTCGGAACCAACTCAAAATGCACGATTCCTTCAAAGTTCCACCAAACGCACAACATGACTTTCTTGGCGAATCGATCTTGTTTTGGAACCGACGGTGTTTCTTGCCCTTTCTGAACCCATCGCTTGTCACGATTGTGCTGGATTGTTTTGCATAAAATTTCAATATTTACGAACTTTTGGGACAACCTAATATATATATTCATAATACTTTATTTTAATTTCTTTATTATTTCGCATTCTTTCTTTTCTTATCTATTTCTATGTTTTGTCCTTCATTTAAATTAATTTATATTCATTCTTCATCAACCCTTTTTTTTTTTTCCTACTCTCTTTCTCTTTGTTACGGGTTTGTGTTTATTCTTTCTTTTTTGTTTTCTTTTTTCTTTGTTTCTTACATTTTATTTCTTGTAACTGTTAATACTTATGTTTCTAATTTATTTTTCTTTTCATATTTTTCTTTTCCTTTCTTTCTTTCTTTCATTCTTGTTTCCTTCATTCATTCCTACCTTTCTTTCTTTCTTTCTTTCTTTCTTTCTTTCTTTCTTTCTTTCTTTCTTTCTATCTTGCTTCTTTATCTCCCGATTCTGTAATTGTTAATGTCTTTTATTCTCTCATTTTTATTAATTTATTTTTCTTACCCTTAATTCTTTATAGTAACTTTTTCTTTTTTTTTTTTTTTGCTTGTTATCACTTACTTTCCTCTTCCTTTTTTTCTTTTCGCTTCTTTCTTTAAATTTTTCTTCTATCTCATCGATTTCTACGTACCTATCTCTCTCCCTCCCTCCCTCTCACTCTCTCTCTCACTCACTCTTTTTTATCGTTTTCATTCATTCTTTCCTTCCTGTTTCTGTCTGTATTTATATATATCGTTCTGTGTCTTTTTTATCTGTTGCTTTCTTTCTTTCTTTCTTTCTTTCTTTCTTTCTTTCTTTCTGTTTATCGCACCCTCTGCTATCATTTCCACTATTTGTTTGCATTTTTCCCTTCCATTCTTTTTCATATCATATTTTCCATTTTTATTTTTTATTCAGTTTTTCGTTTTAAATCAAATGAGATGTCATTTTATTTCCATTTTCTTTCTTTCTTTCTTTCTTTCTTTCTTTCTTTCTTTCTATAGTACTTTCTTTCTTTTTTGCTTTCTTTCTTTCTTTTTGTCTATCCACCCCGTTATCTATTATCGTTTTCACTCGTTCTTTCCATCTTTGTTTTTTTTTTCTTTTTCTCTCTATATTTCAGTCATCATTTTCATTCTTTACTTGTTTCTTCCTTTGTTGTTATTTTCTTTCTTTCTTTTTCTTTCTTTATATCTACCCTTCTATGTCTCTGTTATCGTTTTCACTATTTTTACCTCTTCCTTTTTTTTATCTTTCTTTCTTTCTTATCTCCCCACTGTATCTTTTTATTATAACGTAATTTAATTTCTACCCATATTCTTGCTACATTTGTATTCTATTTCTAATTCTCTTCTGTTAAAACTCAAGATTTTTATTCTTCTATTTTTTACGCCACCATCTCTTCCTTTTTCATTTCCTTATTGTCTTTCCCTTTTTCTTCTTTCTTTAAATTCTTTTAACCCATTTGTCTTTTTTTCTATCCTCACGGCTTTTTATTTCATTTTTTTTTAATTCATCTACAACAATTTTAATATCTGCGACGTCTTTTAACAGTGGACGTGAAGTGCAACATCGGAATCCAAAAACGCAGTGATATAGCGAAAGATACATTCCAAAAGCTAAACAAAGTATTAAGACACAGGAAAACCTCGTTACAATCAATGATAAGAGTACTGAAATGGTGCGTGATGCACGGCAGGGAATTCTTGACAATCTTCTAAATAATTAAGAAGACATTTGAAATAACAGAAATACCATTTTAGAGATATATACTAAGAATACCATGGGCGGAACATGCGCGCAATGCCGAAGCTTTATAGAAAATGTTGCAGGACACCTACGGACGATAGTGTGTATGTCCCCATTCACATAAATACAGTAGTAAATACTGTATGTTGGTCTACAGTTGGAAATTCGTCTCCATCTGTGCGGGTCAAACTCTCTACCCAGGATCTCCAGGTTATGCTATGTCGAAAGGTAGATTCACGTCTCGTGAAACAGTTACCCGAATACGTTTTATACGGGTTTTACGGGGAATATTTGCCCGAATGTACGGGCTGGGATATCCCACATAAAATTAGACCTTGTGCCACATCTGATCGCATGGGGCGGTTGGAAGATATCCTGCAGTTGGAGATTCATTGTGGAATTCACTTGACTCACTTCCAGCAATTAACTTCTACGCGCAGCTGGCGAATCTTATATGTGTTGTTCTTGTCCTATGTATTATCGATCATTACCAACATCAGTAACCTTCACTAGGTTAAAACAGAAAATGGAAACAAAAAAGAGGAAAGGGTCGAAACTTCTAGTGCACATAATGAGGAAAGAGGGCTTGGCACTTTTGATACTCACAAGACAGACTGAATGCAAGAGAGACATGAAGAAAGTTTTATATACATAACGTACATGAGGGTTTTGGAGAAATAAGACAAAATTTATTAAGAACTACAAAGGAGAGGAAATTGGGGAGAGCCATAACCGCGAAGGCATATAGAAACATTAAGTATATTGCTGAAGAACAGAAATTGACTGCATAATAAAGAACTGCATAATATTAGTTGCGTTGAAAGTTTATTAGGCAATAATTTATGAAGATCTATGCAGATTAAGAAAAACGTCATTAAAATTGCAAGTAACTTTATTTCATATTAGACTACCCAGGTCAGTGACGGTTCAAGCTACAAAACACTGAAGTTGATTTCAACTTTAAAATAACTGTCTGAAGAAAGTTAAAGCAAAAAATACTTACTGTAAAAGAAACTAGTATTTTTAAATCTTATCCATTTATTTTTTTAAATCAGATTAACTTCAAAATATATTTTTTTTAATATGTCAAAAATATTTTTAAATCATATTCACTTGAAAATATTTTTGAATATGGCAAAAAATATTTTTTAAATATTTAAAATATTGTCTGTTCAAACAAATCTGAAATATACATAATCACACATGCAATCACAATGTGGTGGAAAGATGTTGAAAGAGAAAGCGGGGAAAAGAGAGAGAAGGTGGAAAGAGAGAGAGGTGGAAAGAAAGAGGTGAAAAAAGAGTGGGGTAGAAAGAGAGAGAGTGGTGGAAAGAGAGAGAGAGAGGTGAAAACAAATAAAGGTAGAAAGAGAGAGGTGGAAAGAGAAAAGAGGATACAGAGAAGTGGAAAGAGAGAGATGGAGAGAGAGAGATGGAAAGAGATTTAAATCATTATGCGCCAATGTGTAAATTACTATAAAGTAGTTTGTAACACGTTTATTTATCATCTCTCTGTTGCGTGTTTGAGTAGAGTGCACCCAGGGGCGACTCCTTCTAAGGACAGAGTCGCATATGAGGAAAATCATACTCAGAGGTACCCAGCCCTAGTGAAACATCTGTCCGAGGCGCGTGCTATCATTGCACCAGAGAGAGGGATCGGTGCTTGCACCTAGACCAGCGCAATCGACGGTTGCTGAAGCTCTCTGAATTTTTGTTCCTAGCCCGGGTGTACGTGCTCGGTCTCCCCACATTAAACTGACCTCGTGTCACAAAATGACTTCGTGGTGGGGGGGTGAGTAAATACCAAATCATCATGTGCCCGACAACCCGCGTACGCACCAAAAACGGACATTTATTATTATATAGAGAGTAACGGTCGTTATAAATAATACATTTATTATAGCCAATTCTGATTGTCATATAAACTTGACACGCTATTCCTAAGGCAGATGTTCACACACGTTACATTCGTTAGTTTCACATGTTCAGACCTTCAGAGCTTTAGGACTTTCTATGTAATGTTCACGGTAGAAAAATCAACACAAATCGAATAATTCGAAAGAAATTTGAAAAATTGTAGAACGTTGTAATATCTCTGCGGGTTTATATTCATTTTTGCGGCCTTCTACAGAGAATGTGTTTAATGCCAGTTGAGTGTAGACTTGTAATAATTTTCCCGCACAACCTGGCCTTAGTTTGAGCCAGATGCTTTACCAATACCATATTTGATGGAATTTGCTGTTGCCATGACTATTTTTAAAATTTCTTTATGATCTGTATTTGTTTTTAAAGACACGCCGGCCATATCCATTACCCTAGGGGAAGCGAAAGATATCTATTAAAAAAATTAAACGGACAAAGCCCCTCGCCTGATATCAGCAGTGATTAGGATTTATTGAAATCCGGATTTCCTGGCGAGATGGCATCCCAGCGATTTTGTGGACTGGTTCTTGAGTTCATTTTTTTTATCAGATCCAAAGCTTCAAGCTCAACAAAAACAGTTTCATTTTTTAAGTGCTACATTTTTTTTCATATTTCCATTTCCAGGTTTGTGTATTTCTTTTCCAAAAAACTTCGTAGAGATGTCTTTTGACATTTGACACGCTCATGTCATGTGTGAAATCTTTTTTATTTTCTGACATTCGATCTGCGTTGAGAGAAAAAAAAAAATACGAGTCGATTGGAACAACTCTCTCAGTTACAAATTCAGGGTGATATTCTTAGTAGTTTACAGCCATTTTTATCTGTTTGTGATCAAAGATTTTCCAATGCAGATATTGGCCGACACGGTTTTTGGCTTGTGGTTAAATATTGAGAATCCTGAGAAAAGGTCATCATTAGTTTTAATATATTGGTCACAAAATCTACATTATGCAAAATATTAAATTGGTAGTTACGTATAAGCAGGCTCTGGTCCTGTTCCGCAAGAATAACCCGTTTAATATTCAGTACCCTTAAGACCTGAACGCCTTAGACCCTGGTGGGTTGCGCATTGTTTTACACCAGCATTTCGGAGAAGAAACTAATTATATAGAAGCTTAAGGCTCCAGCAGTTTTCTGTGTGTTTTGGCCTTTTTTTCGTCTCTTTTAGGTATTTGGCTGACAATGTGGAAGTTGTATATACTTTCATATTATTATTATTATTATTATTATTATTATTATTATTTTTATTTCCTTTGATTTCTGGCGTTTACACATTTCTTTCCGGGTCCCGCCCAGTGACCTAGGTAAGATATGGCATCATGACACGTTCCACTGAAAAAAAAGATACATAGACAAAGCCCTTCGTAAAGTGTGGGCTGTATTTTTCAGAACAATTTTTTTTTTGTATCTCTTTGAGTCATGTACTTCCAGGAATCCCTTCAATTAGTCGACTGGAATCTTTTCCAACCATTCCTAGGGCTCAAACTACAACAGGGATTGTTGATGTTCCTATGTGTCACATTTTTTAGATTTCTCTTTCAAGGTCCTTGTATTTGACAGCTTTTTGAATATCTTCAAAGATACATTGCAGTCTGCAGGGACTGCCATATCAATAAGGAGGCATTTCTTTTGTTTGTAGTCTTTAATAACAATGCATGGGCGGTTGGCTTTGATTGTTCTGTCAGTGTGTATTGCGTAGTTCCATAGAATTGTAACAGGTCCTATCTCTGTAACCGGGTCTGGGTGGTGTTCATACCAGTTCCTTTCAGTTTCCTTCCCGTAGAAGTTGCACATTTTCCAGTGCAGATATTGGCCCAGTCTGGCTTTATTATTATTATTATTATTATTATTATTATTATTATTATTATTATTTCCTTTGATATCTGGCGTTTACACATTTCTTTCAGGGTCCCGCCCATAGACCTAAAGTTAGAAATGGTATCTTGACATTTTCCACTGAAAAAAAAAATTACATAATAAAGCCCTTCGTAAAGTATGGGCTGTACTTGTGAGAACAATTTTTAGTATCTTTTTGAGGCATGGACTTCCAGGAACCCTTTTAATTAGTCTACAACCAATCCTAGGGCTCCAACTACAACAGGGATTGTTGATGTTCCCATTTGTCACATTTTTGAGATTTCTATTTTAAGGTCCTTGTATTTTGACAGGTATTATTATTATTATTATTATTATTATTATTATTATTGTTGTTGCTATTATTATTATTATTATTATTATTATTATTATTATTATTTCCTTTGACTTACGTTGTGTACTCATTTTCTTCCGTGTCCCAACCAGAAACCTAAGGTCAAAAATTCCATAATGAAAAGTATAAACTGAATATTTAAACACACACACACACACACACGCACACACACACACACACACACACACCGTCATATTTTACATAGATAACACACTTCGTAATGCGTAAGGTGTGCTTCTGAGAATAATATTTTGTATGTCTCCATGACATGCGCTGTGAGAGATTCCTTTAATATGTCTATCTGAACCTTTTCAAATCAAAACCCAAGACCCCAACCACTGGGTTTGATTGGACACTTGACTAGAATTATTGATGTCTTCATGTGCCACATTTTTGAGATTTCTTCTTCTAAATCCTTATATTTTGATAGTTTTTCGAAGATCTTCAAAGATACATTAATTTCTACAGAAACTGCCATATCAATAAGAAAGCACATTCTGCTTTTATGGTTTTTGATCACTATGTCCGGGCAACTAACATTCATTGCTCTGTCTGCGTCTATTTTAAAGCTCCATAAAATTGTTACAGGTCCTATGCCTCTAACCAGGTCTGGATAGTGTTCATATCAATTATTTGCAGTTTCCTTCCCGTAAAAGTTGCATATTTTCCTGTGCAGATATTGGTCCACCCTTTCATACCGAGTTTTATAATCGATGGATGTTAATACCATGCAATCTGATACTAGATGGTCAATTGTTTCTGGATATACATCAGAGAATCAGTATTCGGGTTCAACACAATTATTCTGCAGATTCAACTGATAATTTATGTTCGGAAGCATTGGTCCTGTGCTGCAAGAATAAAACCGTCGCTTTCAGCTTTGAACTCTGCAGTACGGTAGTATTCTGTATATATAAGCTTGTTTGGCACGAGTACAATCTTCTTTTTCTTCTTCTTCTTCTTCTTCTTCTTATTATTATTATTATTATTATTATTATTATTAGAATTATTATTATTATTTACTTTTATTTATGTTGTATTTCCATCCGAAATTACTATACTTATTATTATTATTATTATTATTATTATTATTTACTTTGATATCTGTCGTTTTTTTTTTTCAATACGAAATTACAATACGAAATTGTGGGTATGTTTCTTTGTTTTTGAATCCACAAACATCAGGATGATTTGATTCAATTTGAAGGAGAAGGAAAAAAAAAAACTTCAATATTTCAAAATCAAAGTCTTAAATATAAAAACTGAATAAAAAAAAAGAAAAGGATTCATTTTTTTTTTTTTGATTCTAAGTTTATACCCTATAAATGATCCTTACATTTTTATTCTTTAACTAAGTCACATTGAAACACTGGTTACCATACAATCACTGTAGTTAAGCAATGTTGAGTCTGGTCAATACCGAGATGGGTAACCACTTGGAAATACTAGGCGCTGTAAACTTGGATGTTAGGTTGATGTAATGGATAACAAGTCAGAATTATTAATCAGGGAGCCAAATTCCAATTAGTCAGGTTCATTATACTCCTTTGGAAAGGGATTAATCCACTTCTTTTCAGCCAAGCTATTGGTTAATTAATACCAGAAATCTATTTTAAGAAATGGTTTCATGACATTTTACACTGATCATTAAAAAAAAAAAAAATAAAAAAAAATAAGATCAAACAGATTCTCTTCGTACTGTGTGAGCTGTACTTGTGAGCATAACTGTATTTCTTAAAGATGTGGGCTACCAAGAATTCCTTCAATGGGTATAGAGGATTATTTTCCAATCAATCCGAGTACTCCCACGACAACAGGAATTACTGATGTCCTCATGCGCTACGTTCTACTTTTAATAGATTTTTGAAGATCTTCAAAGATACATTAGACTACAATGTCAATAAGAAAACACATTTTGTTTTCAGGGTCTTTGATCTCGATATCTGGGGAATTATCTTCGATTGTTTTCTGTGCGTGTATTGTAAAATCATGTAAAATTGTAACAGACCCTATCTCTGTAACCGGGTCTAGGTGGTGTTCATAGCGGTTTCTTGTAGTTTCCTTCCCGTAAAAGTTGCACATTTTCCAGAGCAGATATTGGCCCATCCTTTCATGCCGATTTTTATATTCGGCTGATATTAATACCGTGGAATCTCTCCTAGCAACTTTTATATTCAGTAGGTACTATCACTGCCACTTGATACAAGTTGGTTAATTCTTTCTGGATATTTAACAAAGTGTTGTGGATTCCGGGATGAAATCCGGTCTCAAATGAATGACAAAAACGAAGGAAATATAGCAAATAAATGTATTGACGTAATAATACAATTGGTAATACGGTTAGTAGATCCAGAAATGCGGTTAGTAGCAATAATAATATATATATACAGTCTTGGAAATTCAGTATCGTAGTAAGACTTCCTTCTGAGTCTACGTGCTCGTAACTGTGACTCTTACAATGCAGTTACCTCACACTCTCACTCTCTCACTGTATCACTGTCACTGTCACTCTCTGACTGTCACTCCCGGGTATTCACCGGCAGCAGTACAAGTACACACTGGTCGAGTCCACTTGTATGAAAAAGGGGTGGACTCCTTAACACAAAGAATCTGCATTTTCGGGTCAACACAATTTTTCTGTATGCCTGTTTGGCAATTTCTAGATAGCAAGTATATTCTTGTTCAGCAAGAATAAAACCTTCAGTTTCAGCTTTTAACTCTGCACTTGTGGGTACGGGATGTTGTACACCAGTTTGTTTGGTAATGGCAGAGTGTTGACAATGAAGAAGCTTATCTTGCCACCGTCTCTGCAAAGAGATCCCTTGAACGAGTCTATCCGAACCTTTTCTCAGTCAAACCGAGGGCTACAACTTTGATTATTAATGCTCCACATTTGGGAGATTTCCACTTCAAGATTATTATTAATGCCGTTGTTGTTTATTGTTGTTGCTGTTTTTGTTTTTTTTTTGTTTTTTTTTATTGTTGCTACTCTTGTTGTTGTTGTTCCTTTGTTCTTATGTTCCTGTTTGCTAAATGCGTTTGCTAAATTAACCATCTGCAATTAATGAAACATAATGGATGTTAACCGCAGAGCGGACACAAAATGAAACACAAAGATTGGCCTCTGGGATCGAAAAAACCCTTCAATTTTCGAACATAAAAAAAAATTTGGCTTAAAATTGCTTTAATAACATTTAATGAGTTTATTCATGGCGCGTAATTGAACAGAGTGTCTGAATCAAATGTAGTACGGACCTTTGTCCCTACGTATTTTGAGCGGAATACAGACGTTAAAGTGTTGATAGCATCTTTTCTACTACACTTATTTTTATGCTCGATTTTTTTTCTTTTTTTAATTAGATAATTTTCTTTTTCTATTTGCTTATGTAAAAATGTTATTCAAATCGATTTTTGTCACCTCTGTTTGTCTTCCTTGCCAATAACGAGCCGTCCATTTTATTAATTTTCTCTTTTATTTTCTCTATATTTCTTTCTTCTTTTTTTGCTTCTTTCTTTCTTTCTTTCTTTCTTTCTTTCGTGCATCTTTCTTTTATCCTTATCGTTCTACTGCATTCTTTAGATCTCAGTTTTTCCTCCTCTATAGCAAACTTTCTAATTTCTTTCTTCGTTTTTCATTCATTATTTTTCTCTTCTGCTTTTTTTTCTCTTTTTTCTTTCTTTCTTCCTTACATCTTTTTTCTTCGTTCTCATTTCTTTCTTATTTTTATTTCTGTTTATCCTTTTTTGCAGTGTTTATTTCATCCTTTTTTTCTAGCTTCGTTCTTTTATTTAATTTTTCATTCTCATTTCATTATGTCTCTCGTTCGTTCATCTTCATTTTTATCTTTTTTACTTGCTTTCTTCCCAATCTCTTCTTTATTTCTTTTTATACTCACTTCTTTCTTTCAATTTTTCTTTCTTTCTTAAAATTTCATTTTTTCTTTCTTTCTTCTTCTTCGTCCTTTTACATTTTTTAAAATTCTTTCTCACGTCTTCCTTTCTTTCTTTCTTTCTTTCTGTCTTTCATCCGGGCATTCTATTCACCCTTTTCCATTTACTATTTTCTTTCTATTTTTCTCACGTCTTTCTCCCATTATCTTTTTCTTTCATACTTTCTTTATTTCTTCCTCGCTTCGTTCTTTCTTTCCTCTTTCCGTCTTCCTTCTTTCTTTTTCCTTTCACAATTTTTCTTTCTTTCTTTCTTTCTTTCTTTCTTTCTTTGTCTTTTTCTTGGTTTCATCCATCTTCATACTTTCATTATTTCTTCCTCGTTTCCATCTTCCTTTCTTCTTTCCGTCTTCTTTCTTTTTCCTTTCGCAATTTTTCTTTCTTTCTTTCTTTCTTTCTTTCTTTCTTTCTTTCTTTCTTTCTTTGTTTCATCCATCTTCATACTTTCTTTATTTCTTCCTCGCTTCGTTCTTTCTTTCTTCTTTCCGTCTTCTTTCTTTCTTTTTCCTTTAGCAATTTTTCTTTCTTTCTTTCTTTCTTTCTTTCTTTCTTTCAATTTCTCTTACATTTCCTTCTCGTTGCTTTCTCTCGTTCTTATCCTTTTCTTAAATATATATTATTCTTTTTTTTCCGATTGCCCCATGGTTTTCGCCAAATTTGCTTACTGTTCTGATGACGTATTAATTCGCCTTTTGAATGTAGTTTAACGAAAAATATCTTCTGGCTCTTATATCCGAAGACAGTATATCATATATACTAATCTTCTGGGCCTTATATCCGAAGTTGATATATCATATAAGCTGAATGTTACCGTGTCCGATAGCATTTATACTTATAGTTCTAGAATATTGTTCAGCGAATAGTTACTAATAATACTAATTTTAATATGAATCGTTGATGACTAAGATAGTCAAAAGAAGTTCAGATCAAATTTATATCAAAATATACTAATTTAATTCCTCTTTCAAACTGGTAGTGTTGAAGCATATATAAGGTCTGTAATCAAATTTGGTGCCTGCTCGTAATAATTATAAAAGTCTCCATAAAGTGCCTATGTTTTCTTTGCTGGCAGAATGAGCAAGGTTTTTGTTTCTCGTGACTACCGGCGGCTCTGTAACAGTGTGTTAAATAGGAGTTTCCTATCCATCCTCTCCTCAATTAATTTGAGATGGTAATAGTTTCTGCTGAAAAATTGAGCCTCTTCTACTTGTAAAATCTCTTCAAATTTTACTCTTGACTCATATGAAGTATATTTGGCGGAGTTTCCATTTAGAGCTGAGTATCTAATTTATGATAAGCATATGAATCAATCCATGTTTTCTCCTATCATCTTTAAACCGGGTCCTCGCAATACATGAACTTGACGGTACCATTAGCTCGTAAACTCCCGTTCTCTCTTAACTCTGCAATAAACACCTCGCCATTATTACCTTTGTTGCCAGTTGAAAATCGTCTCCTGTTGTAGCAATCGTTAATAAAAAAGCGGACAACATTCACCTGGCAGCTGCTCTCGAAAAGGACCTCTAATCAGTGGTTAACTGGGGCAGCAAATGGCTTGTAAATTTTAACGTCTCCGAAAGAAATGTGCTCTTATTTTACTATCATAGAGGTAATTTTCTGCCAGCTATACATATACCTGACGCTATACACCTGGAGAGCAGCAAACTGCGCTTTCTTGGCCCAACCTTTTCAAAGCGGAGCGAGTAAATCGAATCGATAACTGCATCTACTGCAAGGATAGTTGGATCACTGTGATTTTTTCTCTCCGGGATCCATGTTGCACAGTTACAAGTCTAACATTCGTCCGTGCACTGCCATATCTGGTCTGGTGCCTCTATCTACTTCTCATCTCGAGGTTCATGCCAAAATCCAAAGAAGAATCTGTAATGTAATCGATCCTGACTTGGCATCTCGATTTCAGTCACTTTCTCACAGACGTGGCGCGCATTCACTCTGTCTTTTCTAAAAATATTTTTATGGCAACAGCGCTGATGAGGTTTTTCCCGGTGTTCGGACTAAATGCGTACTACTAGATTGGCATTTAGGTAACACCCATTTTCTGTTTAAATAACTAAAAAACATCGCTACATCTACACCAATAGTTTCTTTATTGCACTTCCCGTCTGTGTAACTCGCTTCCGTTTACTTCCTTCCTTGATACCTACAATCTTCAAAAATATAAATGCAATGTCAATCGCCATCTTTTATCATCCTGCATGCCGCTCATCTTTTTGCACTTTCCCCAATCCTCCCTATCGAGTTTTTTTTTCTCTGACGTTCATTCCCTGTAACCCTCCTTCAGACTAGTGGCATTCTTGCCTTGCTTGGGGGTGACATGATTAAAAAATAATTTTAAAAGACCTTAAATGAACCGTCTGATCATCCTAAATTTTTGGCAAAGTTCTAAAATCTCCAATCAACTCTGAATTGGTTAAGCATCTCACGCTTATATTGAATCCGTCGATAAAAATGCCAGACAAATGATTATTTCTTTCGACTGATCCAGGATGTATTTGATTGTTTCTGCTATAAGACAGACCAGATCATAATTGGTGTATTGCTCCAGGGCAGGAGTCGCCAAATATACACTTTCCAGTCACGATAAATTTCGAAAACATTTATCCCGTCTTCTAGAGACACTTCTCACAGTGGAGCTTCTTTTCAACAGTCGAAAACTTGCAAGAATTCTATCGCTATTTCTATGGTAAATATTCAAATTAATTCCATTCTTTATTTACCCCAAATAAGACGGTTACAGCTTGAACTTGTTTACTACGTCCGCGGCGTTAATTCATTCACATTTCATTCGTATTCCAAATTTTTTTTTCAAAAATGTATTGCTGGTAATATTCTTTTTCTCAAAAATGTATAGCTGGTAATATTAATTTTCTTGAAAAATGTATTGCTGGTATTAAAGCCTATTTTTACACTTTCGTAGGTTTTTGACCCAAATTTGGGGTTAACTATTTGCCCATAGTTGGGACCCTAGCAATTGTCACCACCCCGGGTCAGAGGTGGTTTCACACTGCTCAACACCTACTAATCAGAGTCCTTGCTGTTGGATGTAGTTTATCGTCTTACACGGATCACGGATGTAGTTTATTGTCATCCTAAGAACGGAAGTGAATTTTGATCTGAAATAGTCTCAGTATGATCTTTAGTCAATATATTTACATTCACCTTTGAAGTCTATGAACATTGATGACAATTTTGAAAAACAAATATTAAATTCAAATGCTTTTTTCCTCATCAGGCTGTAGTATAGAAACTATCTCACTTGTTGGCTATTGTGGCATGTGGAGGCTTCCTTACTTTGTTAGCGGCAGCAGCAGCAGTAATGGAAATAATGAACAGGGTCCAACCAAAAGTCCCAGAAGTCACAAAATACTGACAGAGCCTGATTCGGCTTCTTTTCATCTTCATATTCAGCAGCCTCCATCTCACAGCCAGCTCTCTTTTCCATTTTAGCGGACTCTACTTTATTGATGCCATTTTTACTTAAAAAAAGGTTAACTATTTTCCCATAGCTGGGACCCTAACAAGTGCTACCACCCCAGGTTAGGATGGACCTGGGAAGAACAACAATTAAGAGGTGGTTCCATGCTCCTCAAAACACCCTGATCAAAGGCCTTGCTGTCGGACGTAGTTTATCGACTTACCTAGGACGCGGATATAGTTTATTGTCTTACCCAGGATGTGGATGTAGTTTATCGTCTTACCCAGAGTGTGGATGTAGTTTATCGTCTTACCCAGGATACGGATGTAGTTTATCGTCTTACCCAGGATACGGATGTAGTTTATCGTCTTACCATGGGCGCGGATATAGTTTATCGTCTTACCCAGGACGCGGATATAGTTTATCGTCTTACCCAGGCGTGGATGTAGTTTATCGTCTTACTCTGGACGCGGATCTAGTTTATCGTCTTACCCAGAACGTGGATGAAGTTTATCATCTTACCCAGGACGCGGATGCACTTTATTTTCACACCCAGAGCGCGGATGTAGTTTATCGTCTTACCCAGGACGCGGATCTAGTTTATTGTCAAACCCAGGACGGGTCAATATCTGTATATCATCCTTATACTTATAACCTGAATTTTAAAAGACCAAATTTTACAGTCATATCGCAGAATTCATTTTGTAAGTCTTTACCTTGAACGTTTCTTGAGCCTTGTATTGTTTGAACGTTAGTAAAAAATACATTTACGAATGAATTTTCATCAGTTCGGCCTGGAGAATGATTGCAGTCACCTCACAAAAATTGTATTTTAAGCGCTCAAAAAACTTTTTCTTTATACCGGAGACATTGTGTGACGATTGGATTGGCTTTTGCTTACAGGGTCCAAATGATGCCGCCAAGATTCATTAACATTGGCAAGTGTCATCTCCTACTATGATGTTTGCCACAGTATTGGTATTTAAACAACAAAAAATGTCATCTCGGGAGAAGAAAAAAACTGGATTTACGTCTTACTCAAGAGAACCTGTGAAAGGTACAGGTTATGCCCAAAATCTGAACTCGGTTCGTTGAAAACCAAATATTTCATCATCAACGAGATGACCGCGAATTCTTCATTTGTTGAACTCTCAAAGTAGCATATTTCTTTGTGCATTGATGCCGTATATCTGGATTGGAGATGCTCAATCGCATCTTACCAAAGCGCTTACGCGGTCTTGAAAACAAGTAATTTTTCCCACTGAACCACGCATTCCCAGCCAACAAAACGTCGCAAGCCTATCAGTACTCTACCGATGTTTCTATCGAAAAGGTTCTGATGCGCTGCCATGGACACACGGGCGAATCATCAGCATTCCTTTAATATTTAGCGTTGAAGCTCAGACCAGATTCCAAGTTCGTTATCAGGGTGAAGACTTTTCTAGTGAAACAGTTCTGGTTTAAAAAAAGATATACTTTGGCCAGATCGTCACCCACGAAATAAACTCATGAGCTGATTGTAGCAGTAGGAATTTCTGGCATAAACTGTTATTATTTATACTATTTATATCAGTCTATTGTCCGATATATTTCTTGTTATCACAAATTTCGACTGTTGAGCACCCCGGCCTTCCTTCCGATCCTACGGGACAATGGCCTAATGGATAAATGCATTGGTTTGTGAATTTAGTGAAATAGTGGTTGGGACTTCAATCACTGGGTCGGGTAGTGTGTACTTGCATTCCGCAGAAACAACCAAGTAATAACTTAACAGTGCTAAATAGAAAAAAATGAGGAGCTGATATCCCTAGGCATGAACAGGATATCCCTAGGCATAAGCAGTGGAACGAGAACAGTTTAAACCCATAGATTAAATAATGGGTTCAGTTCAGAAATCTCTGCAGATTAGACAGGTCGATATACACTTGAGGAAGGTCGTTGTAAAAATAACAATGATGAAGACAATAGTCCGAATATAAATTGTGTAATAATTCTTTTTTTTATTTATTTTTTTTTTGTTTTATTTTTTCTTGTCAATTTCTGTATCTTTTTCTTCATTGAATCTATCTAAACTTCTCCGATTTACATAGTATCAATTCTAAAATGGCTGTATGCTGTAATATTTAGCAGAATGGCAAACCATTTCATTGGGGGACTGTCTGGTTTTGAGGTACTAAATGAAACATTTCTAAACCGATGGATTTGAAGAAACGATCCATTTTCCTGACCAACCAGGTTGCCAGATGCAACCACTGTAGTTCAAAACGTCAAAGATCCTATGAAAAGTTCAAGATGCCAATTATCCTAAGAAAAGAATAGGCCAGGCCATGTCAACTATTGATGAGGATATACGCCAACATAGTTAGAAATTGACCATAGATGTGTTCCGTCCAAGTAATGGCATCCGTGTGGAAATGTTCTGATGTATTTAAATCTTTCTTTGCATTTCGTTATATTTAGTCCAGCATATTTTTTTTTATGATTTTTTTCTCTCTTCTTTCATTCTTTTGTCTTTCATGCTTTATCTATGTCTTTTATTCTTCATCTATATTCTTTCTTTCCTTATTTCTTTCTTTCTCGTCTCCTATTAATATTGAGTATATTCTCTTTAATTCCTTCCTTCCTTCCTTCCTTCCTTTCAGACTTTTATCGTATCTACTTTCTTTCTTTATTTCAAATTTACGAAGTGTATTTCTTTGTATTTGGTTTCTTTCTTCTTTCTTTCTTTCTTTCTTTTGTTTGTTTGTTTGTTTGTTTCTTTCTTTCTTTCTTTCTTTCTTCTAGTCTTTCGTTCTTTATCTCACGTCTTTATTGATCTTTCTTTCTTTCTTTCTTTCTTTCTTTCTTTCTAGCCTCCTATCAATATATTTTGTATTCAGTTTCCTTTTCTCCTTTCCTCATTTCCTTTCGTTCTTTATATCGTCTCTACTCTCTCTCCTTTTTTTTCTTTATTTCTTTTATCGCTCTTATCCTTTCTTTCTTTCTTTCTTTCTTTCTTTCTTTCTTTCTTTCTTTCTAGCCTCCTATTAGGTTGGTGCAAAAATAATGACGTCAGAATGTCGTTTTTTGACGTTAAAAAATACGTCACAAAACGACATTATTACGCCATTATTTTTGCACCAACCTAATATCAATATTTTTTGTATTCAGTTTCCTCCCTTCTTTACCCACTTCCTTTCTTTCTTCCTTTCTTCTTCCCTTTAGTTCTTTGTATCATGTTTATTTTTCTTCCTTTCTTTCTTTATCCTCATTTCTTTCTGTCTTTTTTTCTTTCTATCTTTTTTATAGCTTCTTTTCTTTATTTCTTTTATCGCTCTTATTCTTTCTTTATTCCATACTTTCTTTTTATCTTGTCTTTTATTTATATTTCTTTTGTTTCTTGTCCTTCCTTCCTTCCTTCCTTCCTTCCTTCCTTCCTTCCTTCCTTCCTTTATATTTTATCTACTTTCTTTCTTGCTTTCTTTTATTGCTATTTGTTTTTCTTTTTCTCTAGTCTCCTATCAATATTTCTTCTATTTAGTTTCCTTCATTCCAGCCTCCATCCCTCCCTTCCTTTTGTTCTTTTTACCGTGCCTTCTTTCTTTCTTTCTTTCTTTCTTTCTTTCTTTCTTTCTTTCTTTCTTTCTAGCTTCCTTTCTTAATTTCTTTTAATGCTCTTATTCTTTCTTTCTTTCTTTCTTTCTTTCTTTCTTTTAATGCTCTTATTCTTTCTTTCTTTCTTTCTTTCTTTCTTTCTTTTTTCTTTCTTCCTGTCATTTTTAATAAATACTTTATAGTTATCTTCATTTCTTTTCATTTTTTATGAATTTTTACAATTGTGCAGTAAATTTATAGACATTCTTTCCACTGTCTTACTTTCTTTCATCCTGACAATTGTACTGACGTACAACAACCAACGATGGTTTCCTTCTCCAACTCACTACCTCATTGATATGCTAAACCTATTTATGCAACTCTTTGCTAAACGAACATTCACACTTTGCCTCTACTCCAACTTTTGTCACGTCAGAGTCAATAGCAGATTTCTTTTTTTAAAAAACACAAGCATAAATTGCTTTATGCAGATATGACTTTTTGACTGCAATGCAATATTCCAGTGAATTCTGTAACTTTTACTATGAATCATTGACTAACTAAATCAATACCGCCACAAGGCAAACGGGATATACATAGCATCGAATACATGTACAGACATGATTTTATCTGCAATATTAGCGACACCATGCAATAGAAAAAAAGTTATTTAATTTAATAAAATCTGGCCTTTAACCAAAACCTGGGGGTAATGCAAGGTAGCGAACTGTTACGACATATATGTCCTCCTGTATGGCAAATAGGAAGAAGAGATTCGAAGTAATAGAAATGTAGTTCTACAGAAGAATGCTGAGGATACGATGGACCGAATAAACGACGACGAAGTTTTGGAGAGGGTGGAAACAAAGGGGGAAACTTAACATCAGGAAAAGACGATTGAAAATTCTGGGACACGTAATGGGACTCACAGGACGGATAGAGGTTGAAGAGGAAAAGTGGAAAGCAACGCGTGGCATATTTAATAGGCTTGGGCAAATGGCTGGCAGATCACTGAAAGTGGGTAATGACGCAAAAAATTTGGGAACCTCTGATCTAGACCTAACATGATGTATATAGACGAAATCTCTGCGCCATATCTATCTATAAAAGGCAGTAAAAGGTGTGTATGTGTGTGTGTGTGTGTGTGTGTGTGTGTGTGTAACAAATACACGGCCGCAATTTTCGACGGATTTGCACCGAAAATTACATGCACATGCTCCGAGTTAGCAAGAAGGCCAAGACCGGCTTTGCATTTCCCAACACCCATCGATAGTGCAAATAATCGATTTTTTCATGCTTTTACGGCAGTTTTCATGTAGTTTGCGGCCATTTTCTATTGGCCAGAGTGAGAGCCTATAGCTGGCTATCACGAATAGGCAGGAAGATTCTATTGTCCAGCGTGAGAGCAAACAGCTGACTGACACGAATGTTAACTAGCATGCTAGCGTGCAAAAAATATCGATAGCTGCATTCGTCACAAGTGGGAAAAATTTAAATCTGCATGGCGCTTTACTCCAGTTGGCTCATTCGCTTGCTTAAACTCAACGTTGATTCTGATTCCGCAGAACTGGGTTGGGTGTGAAAAATTATTTGTTGTTAACATTCTTTTTTCATTCGGTTTTTCCAGTTACGAGTCCTTTTTTAAAGCTGATCGTTTTGTGTTCATTTTGTTTAGTTCTTTTTTCGTATAATGTTTAGAGCTTAGAAAAATTCGCAGTGTGAAATAGGCAAGAAGTAAGGCATATAGCAACATCAGCACGGCAAAGGGCACTCCTTTAAAGGCAAGGAAGGGCAAAAATATTTTTAGTCAAGTGATAGCGATTGCTGTATGAGTGGTACGATTTTTGAATCAAGCACGGCCAACGCCGGGCCATGCTGCTAGTGTTTGTATAAAATCTGCTGTTAAGTGATATTTGACATGTACAGTGTTTTTATGTGTTGCTTCCAATCGCTGTTTGAATGACTATAAAACATCCCCGTCGCCATATTTATAGACAAAACATACAGATGCATGCTGGGATTTCTTCATAGCCAATAAGATTTCTAGGTCTGATCCAATTTATTTATTTTCTTTATTTCTTGTCTTCAATTCGGACCACTGCGATTGCTTTTGTCTATTTTTCCGCGTGATAATACTATTCTCAGTTTGTGAAATATTTACGTAATCGCTGTTGCTTTGGCTTTTATATATTCTTTACTCAATGTTATTTTTGTCATGATCTTTTCTTTTCTTTCTTTTGCTTCTGTTTATTGCAAACTTTGTAAACTCTGTTGAGCATCTCTGCCAATTGCATTTTACCATAGTCAGTTACTCTAAAATATGTCTCATTATAATGCAATATTGAGTCAAAGAGCAGTTCCACGCGGTGCCTTTTTTTTAAATATCTTGTACACATTGGCTAACCTGTCCTTAGTTAATATACTTGCATGAACAATTCTTTATTACACGCAATGATTCAATATTTTAGGTACAAACTAGTTTGAAAACGCCACGTGCCTACTTTTTCAATTTAATTGTCACGACACTTATGTCATTGTTTTCAGGCAAAAAGTTTTAAAAGTTGAAAATGCTGGTAATATCGAACTTAGTCATATATGACACGTTTTGTATCTGTCTATATTTCTGAGATGAAGTATTATGTACACTATTTACATTATTCGGACTATTGTCCTAATCTTTGTCGTCATATATATTACAATGTTTCGGCCTTTCAGTATCTGTCTATATTTCTGAGATGAGGTATTATGTACACTATTTACATTATTCGGACTATTGTCCTTATCTTTGTCGCCATATTTATCACAACGTTTCGGCCCATCAGTATCTGTCTATATTTCTGAGATGAGGTATTATGTACACTATTTACATTATTCGGACTATTGTACTCATTTTTGTCGCCATATTTATCACAACGTTTCGGCCTTTCAGTATCTTTCTATATTTCTGAGATGAGGTATTATGTACACTATTTACATTATTCGGACTATTGTCCTCATCTTTGTCGCCATATTTATTACAACGTTTCAGCCGTTACGGTCTGGTGGTTGGAATGTCGAACTGAACCCTTTATTTCGCTCAATGGTTTAGACTGTTCTAGTTCCATGTGCTATGTGTAATGGATGTCAGTTATCAGTTATCTCCTGTTAATTCCCCTCTCCATGTTCTCTGCTGCCTTAACCGGGTATTGAACTCTTTTTTTGGGTCCTGTCACTGGATCTAACTAACACCTTTATCCACTGTGCCAAGTGTCCTTGATGATACGTTTTATTTCTCAAAATGTTTAAAAACCCACCCTGCATTTTATACGCGATGTTGAGGCCTCCCTTATTTATCTATCTTTTAAAACGGTTTATATTTATCTCGGGCAGTCGTTTTTACATGATCTGGCCCCAAAAGATTTACTGCAATAACGACATTATTATTATTATTACTAGCAGCTATACCCAGCTGGCCAATGAGAAAAAAGGGTTCAATTAGAATGGAGCAAAAACAGCATCATATTTAGATGTAACAGAGTCTATCTTCAATTACTTTAAAGTACTTTCATTAAAAAATATTTTGAACTAATGCAGTTACTGATATAAGAGAAGTAGTCTGTATTTATTCAATCGAAATTAGCCGAGGACATGAAGAGGTAAAACAAGCAACATGAAAACCCACTTCAGACCACAATTATTTTGGAGTTTTTGAAATTCAACTTGTCAGCGTGCTACCACATATGTAAAAGAGGATACATTTATAAAGCAATTAATGAAAATTGGTTGAAAGATCAACGAAAAATAAGAAAGAAACGAGCAAAAATCGCCATCTTTCGCTATTTACGCGGGTTTTCACTATATGGATAGACATAATTATCAAGTTAAATGACTGTTAAACAATCAACTTACAATTGAATGTAATTTGTTTTATATTGCTTGTAAATTGAGTTTTTAGTTTACTTTGTGTTGAAATCGATTCATATTTAAATCGATTTTTTTCGCAGTTTTTCGCTAAACGCAGTGCCATGGATATAAAAATAAGGTATAGTTGAGTTCGTTACGATGTAAGTAACCTACTTGCTGAATTTTAACAAAATCAGCGGAGAAAAGCTAAATTTATTGAGATTTGATTGGCTTTATCGATTATTTATTTTTTTTTAAAGTTACCAGTTTTTTTACGCTAAGAAGCTATCTTTAACATTTTATAATGTATATACCAAGTTTTGTCAAAATCGGTTAGATGGATCTCGAGACAAAATGTATCAGAGACAGGAATATACACAGACACACAAACATCCTCTCTTTTATATATATAGATTATTATTATTATTATTATTATTATTATTATTATTATTATTATTATTTCCTTGGACTCCTTGGATCTCAGCCAGAGACCAAAACTCAGAAACGTCATCCTGACATTTTACACTGATCATTTTTATATATCAATAAAGCCTAACATCGCACACATTTTACATAGATAAACCTCTTCGTTAAATGAGAGCTGTATTTGTGGTGACAATTTTTTTTTATTTCTTTATGGTCATATGTCAGCTTCTACCTGCAACTTGGAGACACGACATAGGAAAGGAGTTGTTCGAAAGAGCGCTGCCTCCACCCCACAGAAAATGTTTTAGGTATCCTCAAGGAATTTTGAGAATCGTAGAGATGCCTGAAGATAGATTATTATTATTATTATTATTATTATTATTATTATTATTATTATTATTATTATTTCCTTTGATTTCTGGTGCGTACTCATTTCTTTCCAAAGACCAAAGGTCAGACATGGCACCAGAACATTTTGCGCTAAGAAATTAAAAAGCAAAAACAAACAAAAAAAATAACACATATTTTTCATAGATAAAGCCCTTCGTAAGTTGTGGGCTGTATTCGTGAAAATATTTTTTTGTATTTCTTTTAGGCATGGGCTACCAGGAATCCCTTCAATATGTCTATTGGAATATTTTCCAATTAATCCGAGGGCTCCAACTACAATAGGGATTGCTGGTGTTCTCATATGTCACATTTTTGAGATTTTGATTTCAAGGTCCTTATATTTTGATAGCGTTTTGGTGATCTTCACAGATACATTGCATTCTGCATTGATTACCATGTCAATAAGGAGTCATTTTTTGGTTGCGGCCTCCAATAACGATGTATGGGCCATTAGCTTTGAGTCTTCTGTCTGTGTGTATTGTGTAGTCCCATAAAATTGTTACACGTCCTATCTCCGTAATCGGGTTCATTATTATTATTATTATTATTATTATTAATTCAATCACTTCATATAAACTTATTCAAATCTGCTCATATATTTTTATCTATCAAAAACAAAAAAAAGGTGTTTTGGAAAAAACTCCCGCTAGAAATTTTATAACATTTAATATACATGTGAAAATTAATTTTCTGAAAAAATGCCGCCCCCGGTATGACGATAAACTACATCAGGCAGCAAGGCCTCTGATCAGGATGTTTTGAGGAGCGTGGAACCACATAATTGCTGCTGTTACCAGTTCCATCCTGACCCGGGGTGGTAGAGCCTGCTTGGCCCCAGCTATGAGCAAATAGCTGACCCCCAAACTGGAGTCAAAACTCTACAAATGTGTTTTAATAACAGCAATACATATTTGTAAAATATTATTTCCAGCAATACATTTTTGGAGAAAAAAAAATAGCAGGAAATGCATTTTTGAAAAATAAAAATCTTATCGGCATTAAATAACAAATCGAGGTGTTGATATACCGTAAAATAAAAAAAACCCAAGCAAACAAAACAAAACAAAACAAAACGACTCAGGAAAGAAAAATTCACTTTCTTCAGATATGTTCCAAGACTTCCTTATGAAAAACCAGCGAGGAAAATGTCAGAAGAATATGCTTCAAACAACGCAATAAGAAAAGATTCAGAAGATTCAAGGCTAACGGAAATTAAACTGGATCCTCCAAGGTTAAATGTTTCAATTGACTTTACAAATCCAGCATGTTTTGAAGAACAGATGTTGGATTTGAATTGTTAATTATGTAACCTCGAGCAGGTGCAGTTGAAGGTAAAATAAAAATAATATAATGAAATTAGTATACATTTAATTACAACTTCAGTTCATTTATATATTTCTAAACGTATTCAGTTACATATCGATGTAGTTCAATATGTACCAGCAATATATTTTTAAAAAAATATACCAGCGAAACATTTGACTCTCGACAAATAATTCCTCTTTCCAAGACAACGTCAATGAAACCTGATCTACAAACTGATTTCTTATAAAGAATAAATATTCTATTCATACGAATCTAACCTAAAATCCTGTCGGTATTAAATAACCCATTGAGGTATTGATATACCGTAAAATAAACGAAACGAAACCAAAACCTGAAAAAATGTCTGAAATGATTTATAAATTTTAAGGGACAGTAACAAAAAAAAAACAAAAAAAAATACTGTTTGGTCAATGAATGTTGAATATTTACTGTTGGAAAACGGTTGTTTCATTGCCATTCGTGCGAAAATGAAAGTGCATATGTAATTCCCTTTAAGAATAAACTAAGAATTTGATCTCTATTTGATGATACCATTTTCAGCGCCATTAACCGTTACGACACTCGCTTATCCCAAGATTAAATATGGAACTCTTAAGAGTTTCGCATCTCAATCCATGCAGGGGGAGGGGTTCAGTGCTAATCCTCTCGGTGGTGTTCCATGTTTAATATACGCACAGCTAAGATGAGTAATTTTCTTTTTCTTTTATCTCATTTTTTCCCTTTTCGCTAATTTTCTTCTAATAATCTTCTTTCTTTGCTTCGCTCATTCATTGCTTTTATGCTTTGTAAAGTATCAGAATTCATTATTTTCCTTTTCTATATTCCTTTCTTTCCTTCTTTTTTTCTTTTCTATCAATATTTCATTTATTCAGTTTCTTTCTTTCCTTCATTTCGTTTTTTTTTATTGTGTCTATATACTTTCTTACCTTCATTTTTCTTTCTATCTTTTCTTCTTTCTTTCTTTCTTCTTTCTTTCCAAATGAATATTTTTGTAGTCTCTTTCTTTCTTTATTTTCCTCTCTTATTCCAGCTATTTTTATGTATTTATATCTTAACTTCTATCAATATTTTATTCTTAACATTTTCTTTCCTTCTTAATTTTGTTCCTTCCTCCCTTCCATTCTGTATATTGTGTCTACATTCTTTCTTTCTTTCTTTCTTTCTTTCTATCTTTCTTTCTTTCTTTTTTTCTTTCTTTCTTTCCAATCTCCCACCAATATTGCTGTGTATTCAGATTGCTTCCTTTGTTCATTCATTCCTTTCCCTATTTGTATGCTGTCTATATTCATTCATGCATTCATTCTATCTATCTTTCTTTCTTTCCTTTTCCCTTTCTTTCTTTCTTTCAGTCATTCTCGTCTGCCACCAATATTTCATTATATCCGAGTTTCTTTCTTTCTTTTTCTTCCATCTTTTCTCTCTTCTTTCGTTCATTACGTCCTTTAATCCTATCTACATTCGTTCTTTCTTTCTTTCTTTCTTTCTTTCATTCTAGTCTGCTACCGATATTTCATTGTATCCAGTTTCCTTTCTTTCTTTTTTCTTTCTTCTTTTCTCTATCCCTTCCTTCATTACGTCATTTTATCGTATCTACAATTATTCATCCATTCTTTCATTCTTCTATCAATATTTCGATTTTCTTCCTTCCTTTCGTTCTTTGTATCGTGTCCGGATTCTTTCTTTCTTTCTTTTTTCTTTCTTTCTATTCTGCCACCAATATTTATTTGCATTCAGTTTCTTTCCTTCATTCCTTCAGTGCTGCCTTCCTTCCATTTTTCCTTCCTTCTTTCATTCCGTTCTTTTTATCGTGTCTACATTCATTCTTTCTTTTTTCTAGCTTCTTTTCTTTATTTCTTTTCTCTCTTATTTTTTCCTTCCATCATTATTCGTTTATTTATTTCTTCTGCTACCAATATTTATTTGCATTTTTTCTTTCCTTTATTTCTTCCTTACTGTCATTCAGTCTGTCTCCTTTGTCTCTATTTTTCTTTCTTTCTTTCTTTCTTTCTTTCTTTCTTTTAATTTGCCATGAATATTTCTTGTATTCATTTTATGTTGTATACGTTCTTTCTTTTCCTTTTTAATTCCTTTTCTTTTTTTCTGTCTTTCTTTTTCTTTCTTACTTTATCTTTCTTTCGTTTCGTTTTTTTTTTCCTGCTTGATGTGTTTCTTTCTTTCTTTCTCTCTTTCTTTCTTTATTATATTTTGCCATGAATATTTCTTGGATTCAGTTGTTGTCTAAATTCCTTCTTTCTTTCGTTCTTTCTTTTTTGATTTTCTTTCATTCTTTCGTTCGTTCGTTCTTTCTTTCTTTCACCTATCAATATTTCAAGTATTTAATTTTCTTTCTTCGTTATTTTCGTTGTTGATATTGTGCCTACGTTCTTTCTTTCATCGTTCCTTCTTTTAAAATGTCTTTCTTTCTTTCGAAAAGCCTGCCAACATTTATTTGTATTCATTCTCCTTCCTTCCTTCCTTCCTTCCTTCCTTCCTTCCTTCCTTTATCTATCACTTCCCCCTTTTCTCCTCTTACTTCACGATCATTCTTCTTATTTCAAATCCTTCCTTTCTTCCACTGTTTTTCCTTTCTATTATCTATACTTCTCCCCCTTTTCTCCTCTTCCTTCACACGCGATCTTCTTCTCTATTTTGTATCCTTTCTAGCCTTCCTTCCTTCCTTCCTTCCTCACTCCTTTCCTTCCCTCCTCCCTTCCTCCCTCTCACCCTTCCTTCCTTCCTTCCTTCCTTCCTTTATCTATCACTTCCCCCTTTTTTCTCCTCTTCCTTCACACGCGATCTTCTTCTCTATTTTGTATCCTTCCTTCCTTCCTTCCTTCCTTCCTTCCTTCCTTCCTTCCTTCCTCCTTTCCTTCCTTCCCCTTCCTCCCTTCCTCCTCTTTCAATTCCCTTCCTTCCTTCCTTCCTTCTTCCTTCCTTTATCTATCCTCCTCCCCTTTTCTCCTCTTCCTTCACACGCGATCTTCTTCTCTATTTTGTATCCTTTCTAGCTTTCCTTCCTTCCTTCCTCACTCCTTTCCTTCCCTCCTCCCTTCCTCCCTCTCACCCTTCCTTCCTTCCTTCCTTCCTTTATCTATCACTTCCCCCTTTTCTTCTCTTCCTTCACACGCGATCTTCTTCTCTATTTTGTATCCTTTCTAGCCTTCCTTCCTTCCTTCCTTCCTTCCTTCCTTCCTTCCTTCCTCACTCCTTTCCTTCCCTCCTCCCTTCCTCCCTCTCACCCTTCCTTCCTTCCTTCCTTCCTTCCTTTATCTATACTCCTCCCCCTTTTCTCCTCTTCCTTCACACGCGATCTTCTTCTCTATTTTGTATCCTTTCTAGCCTTCCTTCCTTCCTTTTTGTTTTCCAATTAATTAATTTCTTCTTCTCTTTTATGTTACGTTTATTTTTTCTTAACTTCATTTTCTACCTCACTTTTCGTATTTCTACCTTCTCCCCTACTGACTGTCTATCTGTTTCTCTCTCTCTCTCTCTCTCTCTCTCTCTCTCTCCCTCTCTTACGTATTCTATTTTATTTCATCTCTCTTTTCTGCCTTTCTCATTTCCCCATATTTCTCTTTCACTTCCTTCAGGCTGACTTTTGTCATTAGGCCCTTTCTCCGCTGCTGCCCATTCTTTATCTCATTCTGCCCTGTTCTTTACTGCATTTGTTGTTTTACGTTCAATATTTCATTTTCTTTTTTGCTTCTTTCAATTCCTTCATTTCTATCCCTTTTTTTTTTAATTCTTTTCATTACAGTTCTATTTTTCTTTACTGCATTCCATTGAAGACTTTCATCCCTCATATATTCTCCTGAGAGTCAATCGGTCATACACTGTCCATATTCTTGAGAACCCCACCCACCACAGTCATTATATCGAACCCCTACCAGATACACGCCCTCCATTATTATCTGTTTATTTTTATTTTTTCCTTCCAGACCCCAAAACCTCGGCCGTTGCATTAAGTACTGGGGAAGAAACGTAGTAAATCATTCATATCGTGCGCAACACCATCTCCCTGGAGAAGGCGTCTTCGACTGACAAACCGGCATCGACGAACTGTTCCGGGAACGGTGACAATATGGCCGTGCCCAGGAAAATGACAGGTGATCTTGGCGCTCTGTGAATAACAAAAGACAATCTGGAGGAGGCGCTGAGCCCTGATTTGATTAACCCGAACTGTTTGCCGGTGTTGGAAGACTTCCAGAACGTATTGGAATTTTTCATCGACATTCATTTTCTTGCCAACCCCATATCACCCGATGACCTGCGTCACTCCATAGCTCCATCGCATCATTTTTTATTGATACGTCTCCACTATCACCGACCGAACATGAATCTTTCTTTTTTCTTTCTGTTTAGTTCAAACTTCCCCAATTCCCCGGATATTTGTGATTATCTCAGGTCTTTTCTTTCACAGCTTTCTTGTTATTTTGTTTAGCAGGCTACGCAGCAACAGTTAGCAAATCACTGACATAGGCGCAAGTGAGAGCGTCTCTGCTTCAAACGTGTGGCTCTGTGCTTGATTCAACCTCTTCTTCTTCTTTTACGTGTCATTTCATTTCAGTATAATTATCGATCACGGCTTTGCCCAACCTATTCAGATTAGACCCTTTACCATCCCTCTTGTCCCCTCTTCAGTTATCCATTCGCACAAAAACGTTAAGTAGTTTACTCGCTGCTGTCCCCTGCTTCTCCAGCCTTGACTAAGTCCCAGTGAGTGCTAGCATTTATCAGCGACACTTGCCTCGTTATTTTACAAAGAATATTCAACAGTCTGTTTATGGAGATTTTCTAAGCCAAGTAAAATAAAGTATCATCAAAGTATCGGAAATTTATTGCTTCTTCCAGTAAAGATTTTCGAAGGAACAAATTTATAGAAATTCTGAGAAAAAAACAACACAAGTTGCCATTAAGAGACGTTGAAAAGTAGTTTCCCAACCAGCTT